TTGAAATGATTAAAAAAAAAAAAAAAGCATTGAAATCATCTCTCTTAGGTGTAGTTTGCTTTCAAAGTATTTTTACAGTTCAGTTTTAGCAATCTTCATGTTTACAATTGCGCTGCCTTTGCAGTGCACTTTGAAAACATTGATGTCATTTTTAACACAGCCGTGGCTCATGAGGGAAGCTATAGGTGACCTATTATGTAAAAGCGGAATTTATGTTACGTCTCCAAAGCTTGTGAAAACATGGCATAAATGTTAATGCTTTTAATTGATAGTAGGTTATTTATTAAGTATCTGTACTGTATATGACATGAGCCTGTTGGTTAGAACATTTCTGCAGTGGTTTGCATGTATCAAATTGTAAAAGTAGACTTTTCAAATAAATAAATAAATGAATGAATTAATTAATAAACAATATCCTACTTATTATCATTAATATTATTATTATTAAAGTAGGATTTTTTTTCCATTTCCTAATAAATAATAAATATTACATTTCATTTCCTAATAAACAGCCTCTTTATTTATTTATTTATTTATTTATTTATTTATTTATTTATATGATTAAAATATGACATTAGAGTGTTAGCTAAGTATTTTTATGTTTTAGAATATAATATGTAATATTCTCAATAATATTTGTAAAGGAAACATAGGCCTATATGTGGCATTTACATATATTTCAATAAAATGGAAAACGAGTGCATGTTTTTACTAAAACTAATATTGGATCTTTTTTTAAATGCATGTGCGTGTAAAACAATGTAATTTGCACAAAGAATGAAGAGCACACATCTGAATCCCATACCTGCTCTCTAAAATAACATCTGACAAGTGTCTTTCACATATATTCAGGTTATAAGCTAGTGTAAGTAAGATGAAACATTCAGATGTGTTTTTCGAGTTCATTATTTGAGATGTAGAATGCAGGGAAAGCGGCCGCAAAGAAAGACACTGCAGCGCTGGTAAAGATTGTGGGTGTTTACAGCGGTTTAACTGATAAATGTGAATTTGTAACTAAATTGTTAATGGTGCCCTACAGCATTTCTTGTTGTTTAGATCCTTGCTACAACATATCGTTAACGCTAGAAACTGTGCATTTAATTGATCAATTTTAACAAATAAAAACATTTACAGATTGTGGGTCACAATCCACAGCTTCCTCTATTACGGTTGGAGCTGCTCCTTCTTTGAGGCGTTTTTAGCTGAATCCAGCACTGAACTGGGAGAGATTCTAGGAGCTGTCCTTTGTCAATTACTAGAGATATACCGTTTTATATAATTCTCTGGAACATAATTAAAATTAAATTGTAAGCTCTTCTCTCTTTGTGTCATGTGCTTTGGAAGCCCAAATACAGACACCAAACAAGCTCTGTGGAAATAGCAGCATTTAGGCAGCATTTTAGCTTTCTCTACTAAAACATAATAGCACCTCTGGCCACACCCCTTCGATGTGCAGGTGGATGCCCGTAACCAGAAGCTCTTTTGATATCACTTGCCCGGATGTACGTATTTTTTGTACACCACAAACTTTTTTCGCTGAAGGCTTTGCTAAGCTCTGTAAAAGCCAATGTTTCTTTTTACATTGAACTTTGAGCATATTACAATCAGAGATGTTGTTTATGTTCACAAAGCTACATTACACATCAACTAAAGTTTAAAATATATTATCGTAGTGGATCACCCCTTTAAAGACCTGGCAATGAACTGAATAAGTTTTGTTATAACTCTTAGCTCATTTTTAAATAGATTTTCTGTGTCTTGTCTTAAATAAGAAATGTAAAGTCAATGAAGTGTGTGTGGCAACATGAGTGGGTTTCTGTTGAGACAAGGCTCGATTTCCCTGCCATCATCCGGAATTCTGTCGTTTTGCCTGGAATTCAGAGTCAGTTATTGTAAGAGGCAGTGGAAGACTGGAGCCGCGCATCATCACATTCCATATCTCCACATCCATCACACCTTTCCTATTACTCTCACTCTGTTGAGCTGCTCAAACTCCACTCCTGACACCCAGTTAACAGTCCCTGCAAGGCATCTCTCTAACCACTTCCATCTTTCTGAAAAGCGGCAATATAATTGGGCTTGCAATGTTCAAGAGGGCAATCACCTAAGTAAGCTGCATTAGTTATATGGTATTGTTTTGGAAATCATCAGGGAAAAAAAATCTGTTTTTAAATTCATCCTTGTTTTTATTTGAAGCAAATCATTTGAATTACAAAACTGTGCAAAACCTTAAACATTAAAGAGTTTTTTTTTTATCACCCAAAAATAACAATTCTGTAGTTAATTACTCACTGTTATGTCATTACAATTCCCTTAGACCTTTGTTCATTTTTGAAACACAATTTAAGATATTTAGGGCTACCCGGTGGCGCAGTAGCTAGTGCTACCACCTCATGGTAAGAAGGTCGCTGGTTTGAGCCTCAGCTGGGTTAGTTGGCATTTCTGTGTAAAGTTTGCATGTTCTCCAAATGTTCGTGTGGGTTTCCTCCGGGTGCTCCAATTTCTCCCACAAGTCCAACGACATGCGGTATAGGTGAATTGGGTGAACTAAATTATCTGTAGTGTATGTGTGGGAATGAGTGTGTATGATTGTTTTCCAGTGATGGATTGCAGCTGGAAGGGCATCTGTGTGAAACATATGCTGTATAAGTTGGTGGTTCATTACGATGTGGCGACCCCAGATTTATAAAGGGGCTAAGCCAAAAAGAAAACGAATGAATGAATGAAATTAAGATATTTTAGACATTTCAGAGCTCTCTGACCCTCCATAAACAGCAACGGCACTAAGATGTTCAAAGTTCAATGTACAAAGATGTCCAAATCATTTTCAAAAAATTCCATGTGGCCCCAAACTCCAATAATAATTTTATGTACCAAAAAAAAAAAGTAAAAAAAAAAACCTTTGCTCGCCAATGTCTTTTGTATCTTATCAAGATGTGCTTTTACTACTGGCAATCCAACGCTTGCATGTTGCATTGGTGATTTGACTGGTAATGTCTTACTGGCTGCAGTTAACAAGCACCCTGATGATCTGACATGGGAGAGAAGATAAAATTGATTGGAGCTTTATAAAATTTTACCATTAAACCACTAAAGTCACATAAAATGTTTTAATAATGTTTTTGGTTCATTTTCTGGACTTTGAACATCTCAGGGCATGTGAACATGTTGTTGTTTTAAATTGCATTTCATTTTTTTCGGCTTAGTCCCTTTATTAATCAGGGATTGCCACAGCGGAATGAACCGCCAACTTATCTAGCATATGTTTTACACAACAGATGCTCTTCCAGTTGTAACCCAGTACTGGGACACATCCATTCACACTCATTCATCACTTATAAGTCATGTCTTTGGACTGTGGGGAAAACCCCAAAGGAAACCCACATTAACACAGGGGGAATTAGAGAAGGGAGAACTCGAACCAGCAATGCTTTTGCTGTGAGGTGACAGGGCTAATCACTGAGCCACTGTGTCAACTTCTTTTGAATTTGATTGAAATTATATTTATTTGTGATCTGAAACTAACTCTCTAAGCGGATTAGAACAACATGAGGCAGAATAATTATTAATATAAATAATATTTTTGGGTGAACTAACCCTTTAAGATTTGAAGTTACATAGTTAATGAGAAAAAATTTCCTTATGACCACCAAGGCAGCATTTATTTATTCAAAAATTATTCTATTTTATTTCTGTGAGGACAAAGATGGATTTTTAACATCATTACTTCAATTTTCAGTGTCATGTGATTCTTCAGAAAGTATAATATTCTGATTTGGTGCGTAAAAGAAAATTGCCTATCATTATCAATGTTGATTTTTTTTTCTGCTTAATACTTATAGAATACTTTTGTAGAGTACTTTTTCAGAATAACAACAAAAATAAATTATTAATTTCATTCAGCACACAATAAATTGATCAAGGATGACAGACTAAACATTCCTGTCATCACAATGATAAATTAAAGTATATTATTTCTTTAAAATTGTAATATCAATACTTTTTCAAAACTGATCTAAGACAAAAATGGGTTTTGTTCTATAGTGTCAGGAATTTTTTGTACAAAAAAATTTGCGCAAAATTTTGATGTAAGGTGATGATCCACTTCAAATGTGTACTACTGTATATTTCTGTAATGTTTTTTAAATAGTTTATTTGTAATGTTTTTAAATAGTTAATTTTTCCTATATGTATAGTTAAAGTCAGAATTAACAGACCTGTTTATTTTTTCCCCAATTTCTGTTTAAAAGAGAGCAGATTTTTTTCAACACATTTCTAAACATAATAGTTTTATTAACTCATTTCTAATAACTTATTTATTATATCTTTGCCATGATGACAGTACAGAATATTTTACTACATATTTTTTAAGACACTTCCATACAACCTTAAGTGACATTTAAAGGCTAAACTAGATTAACTAAGTTAACTAGGCAGGTTAGGGTAATTAGGCAAGTTATTGTATAATGATGTTCTGTATACTATCGGAAAAAAAAATGTGCCTAAAGGGGCTAAAAACCTTAAATGCTGTTTAAAAAATTAAAAACTGCTTTTATTCTAGTCCAAATAAAACATATAAGACTTTCTCCAGAAGAAAAAAAATATTATCAGACATATTGTGAAAATGTCCTTGCTCTTTTAAACATAATTTGGGAAATATTTTTAAAAATATAAAAAATTCAAAGGGGGGCTAATAATTCTGACTTTACCTGTATTGACCTTATTCTAAACAGCGAAACGAGCAGTTTTTAATGTCTAAAAATGAATGGAAGTGAATGAGACCGGAAGTCTCGTGCCAAAAAGATTCAAACAGCAGCGCCCGCTCGTCTGCGGAGAATAAGGTCAATATGCAACCTCAGTAATTGGTTGACTTAAAATCAAACCAATGCAGAATCAATAGAATTGTGTACTCTTATAACTAAACCACAAACAATTTAGTCTATATGCTTTCTAATGTGTGTTATATTAACCATTTTATACCATCTAAAAAGATGTTTTACCATGTACTCCATATTTGAAGCCGGTGGGTAAACTTGTCCTCTGAGTTTGTTGTGAAGGTCCAAGATGGCCTGCATGTCACTGGCAGTGATCGCTCTCTTGCCTCTCTGTCGCTCCATCACTCTGTCACCAGCATCATCATCAGCATCATCCTCCAGGTACTTCTCCAAAAGAAAGCCGAGATCTGTGGCATTAAACAACACCATGGCAAACACAGTCCGGGTCACCAGAAGAAGAAAAAGCCCTGTCGGTAATGCAAAGGTGTAGTGACCCATGATGGATGAGCTCTGATGATGATGCGATGATTACGTCTGAGGAGAAAAAGAAAAGTTTTCAAACTGTAAAGCTGAGAAGAACACCAGTAAAAGAAAAATCTACAGAATGGCTTTTTTTTTCAGAACAATATGGCATAACACAATTATGGACATTTTAAAACATTAAAGTGGCTAACCCTTTATTTTGATGGTCTATTTGAGTATTAGTAACCTGTCTCTAATATCTGTTGATACTGCTGCTAAACAGACATTTAACTTTGGAAGTACATGTCAACTTACCCTTACCCTGACGCCATCCCTAACCCCCTAACCCCCAACCTAAAAGTCTACTTATAATCTAATGAGAATTAGTTGGCATGTAGATGCAATGGAACTTAAATTCAACAAATGGACCATCAAAATAAAGTGTGACCATAAAGGGATTATGTCACATAACCAGCAATCTGTTCCTAAACGATTGGCAGGATACTACACATGTAATTCAGGAACTACATATCCCAGCATGCCTTTGCACAAACCAGTCACCATTAATCACATACAGCTGAATATCGTCATCATCAATTGTTTGGACTATTTATACACATTGCACACAGCAGTCAATGTGGACTCTTTGTTTGTCAGTACCTGTATGGGTTCAGTGAGTGTCGTCCTGGTTATAGTTTTTCTAGTTATGTTTTGATGATTGTTTTGTAACTATTTTACTTAGATCATCGCTTTGTTTTTGCATTTTTATGCACAAATAATCTTTTTTATTAAAAATTACATTTGGATCCAACCTCTTGTCTTAACTCACTTGTCAACCGGTGATAGATTATTATTGTATATTAAGAAAAGACTTTATTCATTTAATTGTATATTAAGTTAAGTTTGTTGAGAGATAATTAGGACAATTTTTATGTTTAAAAACTATTGAAGGAGAGCAAGATTTGTTTCAAAGGACTAAAACAAAAAACATCTATATTTTAAATAATGTTGGAAAATGGTACCTGACCTAGTATTGTCTTTTTTTTCATACAATGAATGTCTACCAGTTGCCTATCATGCAGCTACCAGTTTCTTTAAAATGGCTCTTTTAGAATCCAAAGAAGACAAAAAATAAAGACACTGAAACAGTTTAAATGGTGAGTACATTTTTGAATTTTGTGTGAACTATCCCTTTATAGTACTCCATACAGTACATAGTAGGAATAAACCGTACTATGGAATTATATGGCTGCTTTTCTCCCAATATTTTTCTGAATATTTTGTTCTGTGTTAAACAGTGGGAGTGTTTACAGCTACTTTTTGTGCAATTAAAATAAGTTAGAATTCAACAACAATATCTAACTTCATATTAAATATTACAAAAATACATTTCTCTTCTGTGAGAACATTTAAATATCAAAAAAATAAATAAATAAATAAATAACAAATGCTATTCATTGATTTCTCATCGGCCTAGTCCCTTTATTAATCAGGGGTCACAACAGCAAAATGAACTGTCAACTTATTCAGCATATGTTTTACAAATAAAAAGCCGTTCCAGCTGCAACCCTTTAGAGGGAAACATCCATCCACTCTCACATTCACACACATACAATACTGACAATTTAGTTTATTCAGTTCACCAATACTGCATGTGTTTAATCCATGGGGGATACCAGAGTACCCGAAGGAAACTCACGGCACGACTTGAACCAGCGACCTTATTGATGTGAGGCGACAGTGCTAACCACTAAGCCACTTTGCCACGAATGCTATCAATATATATATATATATATATATATATATATATATATATATATATATATATATATATATATTTCACTATTTTCTCTTTAGCGGAATGAACCACAAACTTATCCAGCATTTGTTTTACACAGCGGATGCCCTTCCAGCTGCAACCCATCACTGGGAAACATCCAGACACACTCATTCCCATAAACCACAGACAATTTGCTTACCCAATTCACCTATACCACATGTTTTTGGACTGTGGGGGAAATGCCAACTGACCCTGCCGGGACTCAAACCAGTGACCTTCTTGCTGTGAGGCGATTGCGCTACCCACTGCGCCACAGTGCTGCCCATGTATATGTATATTTTTTTAAAACTGCGAAAAAAAATATATATATATAATCAAGGTAGCAACACATCAGGCAACATCTTTTGACCTTTTTTTGTTTGTAACATTTCTAATAATATAATTTTTACTTGTTCTTTCAGGCTATCAGATATGGAAACAAGCCAAAATTCTTGTTGAAATAGACTTTGGTCAGGGTACCCATTCATAAATTTTTTTTTGTTGACAGAAATTAAAATGAGGATGTGATGTGAGGAATAGAGGTGCTGTGAGTTCAGTAGATTGTACTGGACTGTACATGATAGTTGTTCAGCTAAGAAAGCGTCTATTATAGAAAATACTTTCAAAAGACAAAAACATTTAAAAACGTTATGTTGTGAATTGCATGATCAATGACACTTTATACAGTGTGATATTGTAAGTCTATCTCAGCCTAATTTGTGCCAGCATTAAAATAATATGAATTGAAAATAAAAGCAGTCTTAAAGGATTAAATGTTTGACCACAAATGACAGAGTATTTGATGTCATTTCTGCTGTTATACAGAAATGCAAGGGAGTGCTTTGATCCATACTGTATATTGACCAACTCAGAAATTTTCCAGGAGTAAATGCAACTTCAAATGTCTTTCAAGTCTAATTTCTGACTAGACTGACATGCATTATGTATATAAAAATACATGTTTTCACAAGATTTTGTTTGGGTGCAGTTAGTGAAATAGATTTTCCATTCATTTCAAAAGTGATATCAAGTTAAGTATCTCACTAAAGGATTAGTTTACCCAAAAATCGGAATTGTGCCAGCATCTTTTACTCAGACTCTGCATGTAAAAATCCTAAATAAATGTCTTTGTTCTACTAAACACAAAGGGAAGTGTTTGGAAGAATGTCAGTAATCAAACAGATCACTGTCCATTTACTGCCATAGTTGCAAATACTTTGGGAGTAAATATTATGGGAGTAAATGGGTGGTGAGATCTTTTTTGGTTACTGACATTCTTCCAAATACCTTGTTTTGTGTCCAGGAGAACAAAAATATTTATTCAGGATTGAAACAACATGAGGGTGAGTAAATGGTGACATATTCTCATTTATGGGTGAGCTATTCTTTAAGGTCAATTAATGTCAACAAATGCATTTAAATTACTCAGATTGTAAATGTGATATGTTTTAGTGTGTTTGTAAGCAGCAGGATGTAAGACAATTTAGAACTTTGAGTTTCTATAACACACGGTGTTCCATTTGGAATGGTTCATCCCTATGCTCTAATTCCCTCTGAAGTGTTTACCTTCCGGATTGACAGCTTTAAAGGGATTAGGGCATAGGGATGAGCCCTTTTGAATAATATGCTGCATGCAACACCAATCAACTTTCTTGAGCAAAAGATCATGGGGGTCTTTTAAAGTGGCCAGTTTTGAGCACTTTGGTTTAAAACAACACTTCAATATGGCAGCCATGATAATTTTTTTATTCTAAAGTGCCTTTTGCAAAGAGCTCCCTCCAAATATATACACCGTCCATATGAACAGGACCGGTGTGTTTGACTTGATACAGAGCTGCAAAGACTGGCAAGTACCATGAGACCAATTGCTGACTGCTCCATGTGGCTTCAAACTACTCTTAGGGTGTACTCACACTAGGCATGGTTGTCTTGAACCATGCCCAAGCGCAAATATCCCCCCTCCCCTCTCCTCGGCCGGCACTCAAATTGCATTTTTTGCCATCTGAGCCTGAGCACGTTTACGTAATTGATGATGTGACTGTTCAGTTTAACAGAAGAAAAGCATTCTCACTCCCTAAAATGGAGATTGCTTTAGTCATTTTGCTGAAAATATTAGGAGGTTTGCAGAAAGTGGCAGATGATGTGCAGTGAGAGGTTTGTATCTTTAAAAAACTACAGTTCAAGTTCATTGAAAAGTAAGAATGATTAATAAATCTATATGAAACAGTCCCTTAAAAGACTAATGATGTCTCATCTTCAGTTTCGCGCTCAGACATGTTTTGCACTCACACAACAAGCATACCCAACCGAACTGCGCTCTGGCACACCTCTTCCAACCAGGCAGGGCTGGCCACCTGAACCGTGCCTGTGCCCAATTCGGAGTACTTGTTAAGCGAACTGGGAAATTGGGGTCAAATGTGTCTGCCCAGCAGAGCCAGGACATAAACATGACATCAGATTGACATTGAACCCCAACGTCGTGGGACCTTGCATTTTGTTTGGAAATGAAAATCGGGTTTAGGTCTGAACAGAACGTCAGATGACCTTGGGTTTTGGTCACTATGTGAAGTTCCACTTCAGGTGATAATGCAGGAAGTTGATCAGATTAGGTTGATCTTTGAAATGGTTCATCAATTTATTTAGTATAGGCCTGTAGTAAATTTGATAGTAAAGAAGGATCGGACATTGCTACTAAAGGAATATGGTTACCCAAAAATTAAAATTGTGCCATCATTTACTGTAGCTACTCACCCTTAACTTGTAAAACCTATTTGACTTTGACTTTCACAGTAAGCTATTTTCCTTTACTGTATAGTTTAATGGGTGCCAGCAACCAACATTGTTTAAAATAGCTTATTTTTCGTTCAATAAAAGAAAGAATTTCTTAAAGGTTTAAAACCGAAAGGGAGAATAAATGATGAGGCAATTAAAATGTTGGGGTGAACTAACCCTTTGAAAAGAGCAACGAAATGAAACTAAGACATTCTTTCAGCTGAACTTTATTAGAAACGTTATCAGATGGATTCATAATGTGGAAACTACAATGTATATTTTGTTTGTTTGTTTTTAATTTATGCATGCAAATGTCTTATTCGATAATTCAGTTATTCATTTCTTTAGCGTTGTTCAAGCATTGATTCAAAAAGATAACCATAACAAACAGACAGACAAAATGTAACTATTATTAAAAAATAGCGATTTAGTACAAAAATAATGTGCGTTTAGGAAATGACAAAGACAAAACATTCTTTAAAAAATATTTAAAATTTGGCTTAGTTTAGTTCCTCAATAAAATACATAGCTACAGCAGCACAAACGAGTTTATAATTAAACATGTATAACACTTTAAATCAAACTTTTTCAGCAAAGGGTATCGAAACAGTTAATAATGTGCACAACTAATAACAAGGAGTCTATAAGCAACGGATTAAAATGTCTATTAATAACCCCGTTAAACTTTTAAAAGCGGAATTACCTGAAGCAGTGTATCCAGCGAGTGAGATTTTCTGCAGACTTGCGGTAAGTTTCAGTATTGAGCTCTGCAAGTGTTCTGCCAGTGTTGTTGTTTCTGCAAGTGCCTGTCCATAGATCCTGTGAGTGTGCTCATAAATGCAGCTGAACGGTCATCACTGTGCCGGGGAGACTCGGTTCCCCCTGCGTGCCGTGTGTGGGACAAACTGCTGCATCTCTTCAAATCCACACTCAACATTTTATAGAGTCGAATTTCTTTGCAAACCCCACCTACTTTGTTTCAGTCAACCCATTCGTTTGACCTGGTTTCAAATTAATATTTACAATCTGTGTATTTCTGTCTTTATGTGGCTTGCAGAATCACTAGTATCAAGCACTAACCTTCAAAGATAATAAACGCTTCAATAGTCCAATTTTGGCACTATGCAATGAGAGTTGCTCTGAAAAACAAGCAAACATGATTTATCTAAATGAAACAGATCATTTAAGTTCAAACTTGTTTGTGTACCCAATTTGAGGGACGTTATAAAATTCAAGAAACATCAGCAAGTGCCTTCATAATGGAAAATTGAGGAAAATTACTCTCTGTTGTGGCTTTAATCTTTAGTGTGTGTACAGAGTGTGCACAGCCCACTCTGTAAACATTAAAACTATTGAAAGCACGCATTGAAAGTCGCATGTCTTAAAAAAAAAATAATAATAAAAAGTTTAATGATTTTTGATTCCATTTAATAATTTATAATGAATTGCTGCCATGAGGACACAGGGGTGGGCCCTAAGCAATTCCAGCTAAGGGGCCCAAAAGTTCTATAATGCACCTTTTATGTAGATTTTTTTTTACATAAATTATTATTATTTTGCTGTTTTTTTTTTTCTATTATTATTCGATCTTGATCTCGAATTCTATTTTTTATCTTTATGCAACATAATAATAAAATGTAAATCACCTTGTAAAACTTTTGAAATTAATTGTTGAATTCACTTAAGTAAAAATAATATATGAACTATTTTGTTTTTAAAACTAAATCTTTACTGATTTGACTGCTAGACTGGTCCATGATTGAAGGTGGGTACACATTTGCACAGATGTAATAATTACGTCCAAATAAAAAAAATTAGACCCTCACCGTACAAAATATGATAGAAAACAATGTTATAATTTAAAGTATCATTTATACTTATTTATTTGGGGGCCCTCAGATTTCCTGTGGCCCTAAGCGTCCACTTACACTTAACTTGCCCCTGTGAGGACATCAGTTCAGAATACCAGGTGCCATTTTTTTTTTTTTTTTTAAGATTTTTTTTTCTTCGTTGCTATTAAACTGATGCATTCTTAATCTGTAATCTGATTAAAAATGACAGTGGTTATCTGTGAATGATTTGTAGTTAATTTAGTATCTGTATGGGATGTTATGTGACTCGCTGCTGCAAAACTAGTTAGCTCCAAGGTGGAAAATAAAGGAAAACAAACATGTGGCCAATTCATGTACTTTTGCCTCTGTCAGATTACACCTTGCTGAATATCTCATTAACAAAGCATTTTCACTTCTGCCACTTATAGGTTTATATTGTATTCACTATATTGTTTTCTCACTATGCTCTGAAGCAGGGGTTACCAAACTCAGTCTTCAAGAGCCGGTGTCCTGCACATTGTAGTTTCAGCCCCAATTAAACACATATAAGTTAGCTAATCAAACTCTTTCTAGCTATTAGAAACTTCAGAAAGGTGTGTTGAAGGAAATTGGAACTAAACTATGCAGGACGTCCAGCGGCCCTCCAGGACTGAGTTTGGACACCCTTGCTCTAATGCAATGGTCTCAAACTCAATTCCTGGAGAGGCGTAGCTCTTCATAGTTTAGCTCCAACCACCTCTAACTCACACTTGCTTAATAGTCTAGTAGTCTTGAGCACCTTAGGTGCATCCCAAATCGCATACTTATGCACTATTTTATGTCATTTTGTAGTATAGTGTAAGTAGTGCGTTCACACTGAAAACTCTAAAAACAATAGCTGCACTTTAATTACCCAACTGATGCACTTATTCAACCTGTAAAAAGATATGTGGAATGATGGACACTCTTTGCTGAAGTAGTGGAAGGGGCGCTCATGTTTGAATTGTAAAGGCTAAATTCACCCTATGAGAGTGATTATAGTGCTTCCCAATGGTGAATGAGCTTATACTCATGGCTGGTATTATTTGGTACTTTGATCATTTATTTCAGGAAAGCAGTTTAAATTTCTGCTTAGTCAAAAAAAAAAAAAAAAAAAAAAAAAACGTTAGTGTTCTATCTAGGACAACACTACATAAATATACTATAATGTTGAGTGCATATTGTATAGTGTGCCATTTGGGACGCATCTATAGATTAGTTGGATCAGCTGTGTTTGATTAGGGTTGAAGCAAAACTGTGCAGAGCTGGGGCCTTCCAGCAATCGAGTTTCAGACCTATGCTCTAGAGGGTCTGTTGTGCTCAAAAATCCCAGAATATCTATAGTCTATACTCAAACCATGTGTGACATCATAAATCATTCAGTAGTTACAATTACAGATCATATTTCTTGCCCAGTATGACTTGAAAAAACAGTATTGTATTCTATCTGGGTATTTTTCAGATTATGATGAATAATATAACCATACGCTCTTGAACAAATGTAATAAACTATCTCTTAGACATTCTGACATTCATCTTAACTGTAATTGAACATACTTGTATGTAGCTGACTGATGTCAGGATGGATTCAGTATCTCCCCCATGTTGATTGCCATGAGTTCCCCCTGTGTTTAGTAATCAGTTTTACTTTGTGTATTAAATTCTACTGTTTGTTCTGCTTCCTGTTGTTTCTCTTTTGTCATCCTTGTGGTTTCCTCCCCTTTTTCTGTTATCCTCTAGTGTTCTCTGGCAGTCTTTGTATGCACTTAGACCTGAAAAAGTCCTGACCGAAAAGTTTTTGTGATATTTAATTTTCTGTTTTGCACAGGTCAGTGTTTGTTTATACATTGTTTTGTTTTGTTTTGTTTTGTTTTGTTTTGTTTTGTTTTGTTTTGTTTTGTTTTGTTTTGTTTCCTCATTGTGTTTCCATAGACCCCACCACACTCCTTGAATTCCTTTTCCTGCTGGTGGAGCAGGGGAATAAATCGATTAGTGTTTACTCCATCCCCAAGCCCTGTCCAGTGTCAGCTTCATTCCCTGGGCCCAGTACAGTGTCTGTTCCCAATAGTGATTTCCAGTGACTGCTTCAGTCCTCCCCTCAGGTCTGTAGCCCTGCTGAAATAACAATATACCACAATTTTACCAAACCACCAATCAGTGCACCCTTAGTCCAAGCCTCAATCATCTCCGCCATTGCCCTTCTGTTGACTGGCTCCACTGTGAAGAAAATAAAGTTTCTAACTGAAACTCTCAAATCTTGAATGTTTAAGGACAACTGGAAATTTATTGCAGGAAAAGTAGAAATAAATACAGAAGTTGCAGAACTTCATATTATTATTTTATTTTTTTTACGTCAAATACCACTGGAAACAGATTTCCCCTTTTAACTCATGGCTCCTTTCTTCCTGGGCAAGTTTAATGGGCAGTAACTGGGTTGCTAATGATGTAAAGACTTGAGTTTACCTTTTTTAGAAGATTAGCCAATGGGCTATAATGGAACTATAATTATTGATGATGGAGAAGCAGCAGGGGAAGTTAATGGTTATATAGAGCCTTGTTGAGAAATCTCCTTAATGCACTACTCTATGGCCTTCTGTTCAGAGATGGAGAGTATTTTACCTTTGGATACTGGTTTATTAGAAAGGAGCTTGATTGCACAATTCTGTGTTCGGTGTGGTATTACTTTGGAGGTTCAGTTTTGGCATAAGACATCACTGAAGTGAAAGAATCCTTGAGGGTTATCGATGGAGAGGTCTTTAATATGACTTTCAATAGACATGGGGTTGAGAGGAACTACTGCTGGAGACAAAACAGGCGAAGAGAAATCAGGAAACTTTGGTTAAAACATTCATTAACCTACTTAAAGATTATACCTCTCAACCATGAGATGGAGTGGTCATAGAAAACAAACCAAGGGCACACTAGTACTACCTCAGTGGTGTACTCCTCCAGAAGCAGCAATGGAATGTCCTCCACATGAAATCTCACAAGACCTCATCCAATGGGACTTCCATTAATAGATTGAATCTTGTACTTAGTATCATGGAGTTTCTTTATGAGATAGAGTTGTTGACATAACATAGAAGTGATGCAATGTCTGGCTGACCCAGGATTGAGGAGTGGATGTTAATGTTTTAAAATGGAGAGCATAATCCTGAGTGGAGCTGTTCCCTCATGTGAAGCAATTTATTCTCTCTATCACCATCAGGACGTCCACAGGTGCTGTTATTTGAGATGAGGGCTCCTTCAGGGATCTTTTGGTCTGGTCTTCTGTAACATTAGCACCACTGAAGACATGGACAAACATGTTTATTGAACAATAGGAAGGAGGAAATATGATTGTAGAAATCCAGGTGAGATTCTGATTATGAAAAACACTGAAACCAGAGTAATATTTATTTTTACCAGGGTATTTGATGCTGACGACAGATTGTTTTTGAGTAAAGGAAAAGTCTGGAATGACTGTAGCACATTTACATGTTTTAATGTGTGCTGAAATAAAGACTTTGTTTGGGTGCAGTACCAAAATGTTCCACTGGATGATGTTAGGGCCTACTCACACTATGCCATCCGTACCGTGCTCAGTCCCGATTCCCGGATCGTTTGAGAAGTGTGAGTGCGCTGAATCGGGCTCAAGCACGGTTCACTTGGCCGGCCCTGGCTCGGTTGGAAGAGGTGGGCCTGAGCTCGGTTCACTTGGGCTTTGGCGCGGTATGTTTGTAGTGTGAGTGCAAAACGCGCCAAAGCCTGAAACTGAAAGCTAGACGTGACTTTTAAGGGACTGTTTTATATGGATTTATTAATCATTCTTACTGTTCAGTGATCACAAACTGCTGTACAGCTGCGCACCTTCAGCAGACCTCCTCATTCCTGCAGCACGAGAGCTTTATGATTGTTTATGAGTGCCAAAAGTGACGGATTTGTTCGGCGAAAAATCTGACTGCATGTCACCGCATCCCTAAGGACTGTTTGGCGAAATATTTGACTGCATGTCACTGCATATCAAACAACTGACATGATATAACTAGAGAAATCTCCACTGTGCTGGTGAGTGAGAGAGCGCTTCTCACTGAACAGCGCAGCAGCGATGACGTAAGTGTGCCGAGGCCTGACTGTGGTGTGAGTGCGGGTGGGAGATGGGAGGGGGGACAAGCGTGCTC